CCTAACAAATTAATTTTAGCAGGTGTTACCTGAAAACTGAATATTGTTCCAAGAGTTCCTCTGGGGTAAAAAGGTTGAAAAAGACTGAATTAGGGGTTAAAGGGTTAGGATGAGACTAAGTGTTAGGCTTATGTTAATGGTTGTGGTTTGAAGGGATGACTTGAGGTCAATGCTAACGATTAGGGATTAAAGGGTAAGGTTGAGGCTAATGTTATCAATTAGGAGTGACAAAGTTAGGCTGATGTTGAGCATTAGGGGTTACAGTGTTAGGTTTAGTGTTAAGCTGATGTTGAGGGTTAGGAGTGAAAGGATTCGGTTATTGTCAGGATTAGGTCATTTACGTGACGTTTTCAAGTGTGCTACATTCACTTTCAATTGTTTTTCAAAGTATCAAATGCAGTGAAAGTTTTCACTGAGTAAGGGGCAAGTTTTGATACCAACATTCATGCAACAATACATTTACTGCAAATATTTTCATATAATAAACAACAGCATTATGTTTCAAAAGCAGTGTTGTGGTATTGCTAAACGTTTGATGTGTATGAGAGACTCCTTCATATGTAAATGCCATCAGGAAGTTACTGTAAAATGTCATCTGCACAATGGGATTTAATAATCTGCACATGTTTATATCCCATTCCACATAGCAGTATGGACTCAAGGTCCACCACGCATAGATTATTAGAGGACTGGCCTTCAGGCAGAGGGAGTAATGTCAACTAATTCAGGACAGGGATGGGCCACTGGGACACAATCAGGGTTTTTACACATTAAGTAAGCACAGAGGTCTGAAAAAAGGTATGTATTGTTTTTAATCCAAATGACTTACACACAGCTACATACACAGCTGAAATACATATAATGGTTCTTTTTTTACTGTCACAGATTTGTAATTCTGTTCAGTCAGTCTTGTGATCTACAGTTGCAAGAAAAAGTATGTGAACCCCTTGGGATTACGTGGAGTTTTGCATGAATTGGGCATAAAATGTGCTCTGAACGTCATCTAAGTCACAACAATAGAAGAACACAGTCTGCTGAACATAATACTACACAAACATTAGATGTTGCCATGGTTTTAATTGCACATAACATGTAAACATTCACAGTGCAGGGAGGAAAAAGTATGTGAACCTTTGGACCTAATAACTGGTTGACCCTCCTTTGGCAGCAATAACCTCAACCAAACGTTTCCTGTAGTTGCAGATCAGACCTGCACAACGATCTGGAGTAATTTTAGACCACTCCTCTTCACAAAACTGTTTCAGTGTAGCAATATTCTTGAGATGTCTGGTGTGAATCGCTCTCTTAAGGTCATGCCACAGCATTTCAATCGGGTTGAGGTCAGGACTCTGACTGGGCCACTCCAGAAGGCGTATTCTGTGCTGTTGCAGCCATTGTTTTGTTGAATTACTTGTATGCTTTGGGTCATTGTCCTGTTGCATCACCCATCCTCTGCGGAGCTTCAGTTGGCGGACAGATGGTCGTACGTTTTCCTACAAAATGTCTTGATAAACTCTGGAATTCATTTTCCCATCAATGACAACAATCCGTCCAGGCACTGAGGCAGCAAAGCAGCCCCAAACCATGATGCTCCCTCCGCCATGTTTTACAGTGGGGATGAGGTTTGGATGTTGGTGTGCTGTGCCTTTTTTTCTCCACACATAGTGTTGTATGTTCTTCCCAAACAACTCAATCTTGGTTTCATGTGTCCACAGTATATTTTGCCAGTAGTGCTGTGGAACATCCAGGTGCTCTTTTGCAAACTTCAAACGTGCTGCAATATTCTTGTTGGACAGCAATGGCTTCCTCCGTGGTGTCCTCCCATGTACTCCATTCTTGTTTAATGTTTTCCTTATTGTAGATGTGTCAACAAAAATGTTAGCATGTGCCAGAGATTTCTGTAGGTCCTTAGCTGACACTCTGGGATTCTTCTTTACCTCATGCAGCATTCTGCGCTGTGCTCTTGCAGCCATTTTTACAGGACGACCACGCCTAGGGAGAGTAGCAACAGTGCTAAACTTTCTCCATTTGTAGACAGTCTGTCTTACTGTGGACACATGAACATCAAGGCTTTTGGAGATACTTTTGTAACCCTTTCCAGCTTCATGCAAGTCAACAATTCTTGATCGTAGGTCTTCTGAGAGCTCTTTTCTGCGAGTCATGGTTCACATCAGACAGTGCTTCTTGAAACCAGTAAACCCAAAACAGGTATGTGTTTTTTAAGGGCAGGACAGCTGTCAGCAACACATCCAATATCATCACACTGATTGGAGTCAAGGTTGGCTCGCTCCAATTAGCTCTGAGAGAAGTCATTAAGCTAGGGCCTCACATACTTTTTCCTCCCTGCACTGTGAATGTTTACATGTTATGTGCAATTAAACCATGGCAACATCTAATGTTTGTGTAGTATTATGTTCAGCAGACTGTGTTCTTCTATTGTTGTGACTTAGATGACGTTCAGAGCACATTTTATGCCCAATTCATGCAAAACTCCACGTAATCCCAAGGGGTTCACATACTTTTTCTTGCAACTGTAGATAGCCCTGCTAAGAAGAAAAAACAGGCCGGTGACTGAATTTTTCTCTACTGAAACAAAGCAGTACAGCAAGGTCACCCCAAACCCCTAACATGTGACTCTGGATAGTAAAGGAACAACAGCAGACTAATAGCTCTAATCTCTCTCCTCCTTTCAGCAATCTCCTTGTCAGCACATGTGCATATAAACTTAGTCTGGTTGGTACAAAGTAATGACCCTCCCCCTCCCAGTCTCAGTTGTGCTGCATAAAATGATTGTATTTGCCTGGAGTTCAGTGTTAAACACTAAACAAAGGGTTACCTATGAACACGTCAATGGGTATTCATATATCAGGTCTTTGCTAGATGTTTGAGGAAGCCAACATGTAAAGCCTGGTACACACAATCAGAAAATTGTACAAAAAATACTGCTTCTAAATCGATCATACAATAATCTGATCGTTAGCACACAGCTTTCATATGAAATTATTCGAAGGGACAAGCATAAAAATTTTTCTCGTACGATACCAGATCGTACGATTTTCGTTTAATCAGCTCAGACGATCATTCATCCGATATTCTCATTGTGTATATGGGGCTTTAGGATTTCTGATGTTGATTAAAGGTTTTGGTGGTGAGATGTCTGTCCTTAAGCAACAAGAAGAGTGGGAATATTATTTGGGAGCAGCAAGTGCAGCCCCAGAATGGGGTTGGGGTGACAGAATGATGGTAGAGTTCCCCAATAATTGTCTTAGAGGGTAACTCAATCCATCTTTTATAAGAAACACACTACTAAGCATTCCCTTTTAAAAAAAAATGCTATATATCTACTAAAGATGTTAAACTGAACCTTTTGCAGTACAGAGTGTACCATAAGGTATCAGATTGTGCCCCTGTCCCCTTCCTTATAGTGCTGCTATGGCAAAAATTAAATACTGACAGCCTATTGACAGGTTAGCCCAGCTCGGAGTTAGATCACACAGGATAGGAGGAGTAACTGCTTCCGCCATATCTATCTCCAATTTTGACAGGTGCTATGAGGAGGGAAATATAGGAACTGTTACAATGTGATACTTTAAAGGGTCCACTAATCTTACGGGGGGTTCAGTTCAATATTTTAAGTAAGGCTATGGCTGCATTCACAACATTACTTGTAAATTGCCAGGCTCATTGACTTTTGTCTTCATGGACAATAACATGTGATGTAAAGCGTTATACAATATGGGCCATGCTATAAATTGCTAAAGAATTCTGAATGCATTTTAATGCAGTAAAAAACACACCCGATCCTTCAACCCACCACAGCACATAGATGTGAAAAAACGTGTTTTATACTTTGCTGTGATGGCCAAACATGAGTTAAGTAAATTTTTTGTGCTTTGAACCTCATTATGGGCCTGTAGAAATTAAATGGGTAGGTGTAATTGTGTTGATGTGTGTTACATGTGCAGACACATATGTGTGGGCCCTAAAGGTTTTCTTTAACCACTTCCAGACCGGACACTTTTACCCCCTTCCTGACCAGGGCAATTTTCAGCTTTCAGCGCTATCACACTTTGAATGACAATTGCGCGGTCATGCAACACTGTACCCAAATTAATTTTTTACCATTTTTTGAGACAGATAAAGCTTTATTTTGGTGGTATTTATTCACCACTGGGATTTTTATTTTTTTTGCTATGTAATGAAAAAGTCCAAATATTTTGAACAAAAGTGTTTTTTTTTTATAAAATTTTACAAATAAATAATATTTCATCATAAATCTTGGCCAAAATGTATTCCGTTATCTTTTAAGCAAAAAAACTAAAAAAAAAAATTAGTTTATAACCAAAAATTATAATTTTTAAACATTTTTTTTTTTTTTTTATTTTTTTATTTATTATTATTTTTTATTTATTTATTTTTTTTACATACTGTCACCCTAGCAGTACAGTGTCACCATGGTGACACTGTACTACTTGTGGGGGGTGATGAAGATTTTTTTTTTTTTACTGATTGCTTTTATACCCATATAGGATGTAAAAGCAATCATTTCTCTTTCTCTCTGTGTGCATTCCTGCACTCATTGAGAAATACTGAGTGAGCTGTGATTGGTCACAGCTTGTCACATGGTACAAGGCTGTTGTGAATAGCCTTGTACCATGTGACCTCTGTGATCATTCACAGATTTCACACGTAGTAAGCAATGATGTCACAAGCGACATCTTGCTTACTACTTTGCATGTGATCACTGATTGGCCAATCAGTGATCACATGATCGGGACCTCGTACAGAGGTCCCGTCCGACGATCGGTGTTTCACTGTGTCCGGAGGACACAGCGGGCACCGGATCGCGGTGCTGCGCGCGCGCTCCCAGGGAGCGCGCACAAGCAGGGTGCGGGTAGGCCATTCATAAACGGCCACCCGACCCTGTACTGCCACCGTCCGGCCGTTTATATACAACAGCCGGTCGGGACGTGGTTAAAGAACAAATGAACCATAGAATTCTATGCAGGATTGGTCATTTTGTAATCAAACTTCTTACCTCTTCCACTTCTGCCCACAAATCTCAGGTCGTTAAACCTTGCCACTTGATTTTTCATGACGGCAGAAGCGTTCCTGAGTTCCGCAGAGTAGTTTTCATCATTCCCAGCCATCACAGTAACCACAGAACCATCCGGCACCTCTCCCAGGGCAACCACCTGTACAAGCACAATGCAAGGAGTTAATGGGAAACCACTTTAAAGGGGCATTCAAAGTGGACAGTTCATAGTAGGACCAGCAACATCAAATTAGTACACCTTTCAAGTGTCCCTGTGTCGGAGTCCCAAATATTGACTGTGATTTGTCCTTGGAATTTTGCCCCTTGAAATGTTCCTCATGTTGTAGACTGATCACACCTAACCTTTGTTTTTAACAATTTTACTACTGAAGTAGGACTTTCTTCAAGTGAATGTGAAGCTCAATTTTTTTAAAAGTTTAGCAAAAATGTGGAAGGGTAAGAACCCATGCAAGTTTTATATTGCTGAACAAAAAAATCTATCCTACACTATCCTTTTAAAGGCAAAAAATAAATTGACAAGGGTTATAACCTCCCCTTACTCTATCCAAAATGAAAAAAAAGTTTTTTCCTTTAGTTATACTTTAAAACTTCTATTTGCGGTCTATAACTAGCGTTTTTTCCAATCCATTTTTTGAGCTTTAAGCCAGACATAGATGGATTGAATATTGGGTCACTGTGTTCTGCCCTTGGTGCAAGGAAAGGAAATTGCATACTCCATGGGCTGCTTTAGTTTTATATTCCTGTCTTTGTCCCCACTGGGGAGTTCGACTCTCTCTATTGGTCCTGCTGACCACTATATCCAGTACAGAAAGGTATGGGAAATCCAACATTTTTGAATTGCCACCAAAACAGGAGTAAATCTTCCAATAGAGGAATCTCTTTACATGGCAACTGTCTAAGAGGGGATATCCTTGCTTATAACAGATGTCCTCTTACTTTATATTGAGATAAGAAGTCAAGGTACCTATCTCTGATTGGACATAGGCAACAACAAAAAAGAGATGAGAGTGGTCTTTACTATTCCCTACTCTACGAAAAAATAAAAAATAAATCTGGCCTAAGTCAGGGGCAACTCTGTCAATGTCACTAGTGCATAACGGAAACACGCTGCTCTCTTTATGTAACTGGCCTAATTAATAAAGTTCTGTTAAGCTTCTGAAATTGTTGATCCACTACTATCATTAACAGTTATATGTGAACAATTCACCTTATCATGTCACCTTTCATATACGGTGAAAGGATCTCACTTATGAGCTTCAACAGTTGGCCACCTATAGTCTCAGCATATTTTAACAAGACTCTGCTATAGCTAGTTGCCTATTGATGTGGCCAAGTTGTGGGTTATCAACAGGACGGACTGTCACCAATTCTCTCCACAGACCATCTGCAGGATGCCTTATGCAGGCCATACATTGTTTCGAAAATCGGCCGAATTTTTCGTCCGAAAGAATAATCGGCCAATTTTCGCACTGTTAGTGGGGCAATGGCATCGGCCGATTTTCGTGGTTCCTCCTCATTTTGTTTATGCTGGAAAATTCGTGAAAAAAGACTGATTTTCAAAATCATTGGTGGCAACATCGGATTACAGAACGAACAATGTTTCTATTTTCGGACGAAAAATCATTTGGAATTAGAACCATGTATGGCCTGCATTAGTTATTCTCTTCATCATTTAGGCTGGATTCACACCTATGTGTTTGAACGCAAATCTATTTCCACTGAAATGAATGAAAACATGTTAACACATTTTGTAGACACACATGTACGTATTTTGACATACATTTTTCCCACAGGTTGACAAACAATGCAGAGTGAATTGCAACTCATGCGACAACAAAGCTAACATACATTGAATCACACAATCACATGCTAACACATAAGAATCTTTATGTGTCTCATTTGATTTCACCAGGAAGATACATGTGCCTTAAACCAGAGTGAGGTTTGAATGCAGCCTATGATTAATTTGGATGGCAAATCTATCTATCTATCTATCTATCTATCTATCTATCTATCTATCTGTCTGTCTATCTGTCTGTCTGTCTGTCTGTCTCTGTCTGTCTGTCTGTCTGTGCCTGTCTGTCTGTCTGTCTGTCTGTCTGTCTGTCTGTCTGTCTGTCTATCTTTATCTATCTGTCTGTCTGTCTATCTATCTATTTATCTATCTGTCTGTCTATCTATCCATACCAAGAATTGTCAGGTTTCTCCAAAAGTACTTTTTTATTCACAGATCGATGTTCCATGCAGCTTTATAACTGCTATATAAGCTGAAACAAGAACAGTGAAAGGATAATGCTGATATTTTTATAGTTTGCATATATTTTAACAATACCAAAAACATTCATAATTTATAAAAATGAATTCAGCCTGGCAGAAAATAGCTGAACATTCACATAAAAATGAGCAAACACTATAAAACTGGCATATGTTAAGTAATATATTTTAATAAACTCATTGTTAATGAAAATCCACGCTGTTTGAGAAACGTTAAACACTGCATTAGGCAAGCAAATTGGGCACATTTTGCAAATTATATTTTTGTTATTAATTTTATTGTTCGTTAACTCAACGTGACCTCGGCTTGTTAGTAAGAGAGATCCCTGCTGTATTTTAAAAGTATAGGCTTTTATTATTTATTATTATTAAAGCCAAATGTAAATTGGAACAATGAAAGGTACCAGAATGTAGCGGAAAAATGCGATTGCACTGAGCACTGTTTGCATCTAAGTGGCAGTGATCAGGTTTGTCCAGACTGGGGCAAATTAAATCCCTCACTGAGCTAGCAAGAGGTTCCCTTGCACCTCTTACAATATCATCCTTGGACTGACCATTTAATCAGCTAACGGTTGGTCACCTTGCTTTGTGCTATGGAGAACTCTCATGGAGGGTTCTGTAGCAGGTTTTCTCCTGGGTTTAGTGCTGGACCACAGCTATTACTGATAGCTGGTGCTTCAAGCATGAACACCTGCTGGGACCTGGCTGAGCGTCTGAAACTGGGTGTAGCTTTGAAATGGTGCTGGAACAACCAAATGTGATTCCCGTCCCTTTGGACACTGGCAATTGGTATTCTAGTGGCTGAGATGGGACTGAACCTCCTTGGAGTATACCAGGTCATCTTGACATGACATATGCATATTTTATTTGGACTATACCATTTCACCTCACTGTCAACAAATAATGTGCATCACTGCAAAAGACACGCGATAACTGCAATGCAAATATAAAATAAAGGCATCGCATTCTGTATGCCATTCCTTAGCTGAGCCATTGGGGAGGATTGAGGTAAGGCCTGGTCATATACCTTGCCAAGAAACTCTATGGAAAAAAGTCTTACAAGCGTATCATTCATGGTGACCAGAGAGCTGACCCATAGAATTGCTGAGAGTTGGATATGACTGAATGTACAGATACATTCGAATTGAATGTAGTGTTCAACCTCATGCCACTAATATAATATAAAAAATTCGACAAACCGAAATGTATTATGTGCAAATATCTGCACTGCAAACTTTGTACCAAACAAGCCGCATCTAAATCTCCTGATCAGATCTCGGTCTGACTCAAAATGACTAATGAAAGGATTCACACCTACACAGCATGACATGGCTCTCTCCTAATTCAGCTCCCCATCATCTGTAACCTACTTAGAGTGAGAATACCCTACTGAGGTGTGTGGGCACACATCCCTTCTCATAGCCGAGTCTGCTGCCCTGCTTAGAACAAACCACCATTACATAATTCAAGGAGGTGCCCAGAAGTCTCCTCTCCTCTTAGAGTTGCATAATCGCATACCGGTGTCACCGAATGTTTCACACTGGGGCAGCCCGAAATACTAAAATCCATCTCATAAAACCTTTACTGATGATGTATAATCTGACAGAAATGGAAAATGAGCAATCAATACATTGGACATATACATCCAGATCTAGATGTTGCTTACAGCTAATTTCAAGTCTAAAGAAATGCTGAGGATGCAGAATTTAAAGCTGAACTGTAGCCTTCCCTTCTGTCTTGCAGTTGTACAGGCCCCTTTCCTGTACTGAAATGGCTTACTCTGATTTCACTGCACACTGTGAGCTTCTTACAGTTTGCATTAAAAGCTGCAACAAGTCATATAGAGCCTGCCTGTAGTTGGAAGATGGCCAGCATAATCTAGCTCTTTCCACCCCAGCCCTACTGTCCCCGCCTCTTTCATTGATTGGATGTCAATTCTACCGATCTTGGAGGCTCAGCATCACATGTGGGCATTACCTAGGGTGGCCGGCATGCAAATACAGCCTGCCTAGGAGTGTTCACGGCATAATAATGTTCGCATAAGTTCTCCCCAACTACCAGCCCATTGCTGACAACAGGGCTGAGGGCTCTTCAGAGGAGTACTGGGGCAGGCCTATGCTCAAATCAAGGATCTGGCAGAAATTTAGGAAGGGACCCCATGCTTTTCTCTCCATCCTTTGGGGGTGGGGTTCCCCTTAAAAGTCCTACCAGGCCTAAAGTGCCTAGTATCTTTTAGGGGGAACCCCACAAACTTTAAAAAAAATATATTTTTACTGTGGAGTCCCTCCATCCTAACCTTCCTACCAGACCTAAAGTGTCTGGTCTGGAATGGGGGGGGACCTCACGCTGTTATTTTTTTAAATTAAAATGTCATCAAGTTCTATACATTGTACAGATGTGTAACATTGCAGGTAGTTTCTGGGGACCCCCCAGGCATGATATTTAAAGGATTTTTTTCTTTTTTACTTTAAGCGATGAAAAATGACTTCCCCTTTAAAAACGCCTTGTATACATTGAAATGTTCTAATCATGGTGACAGTGCCAAACGAGTGACACCCCCCCCCCCCCCTATGTTCAGTGTGCAGAAGGTAAGCCGCTTGAAATAGGACCTGGAAGAGTGTGGCGATCACTGTAGTAGTGCCGACTTCTACAGTGATTGTCAGCTTATGCATGATATGCATACTTACATGTGCCAGGTTGGACCAATGTAAGTATACAATAAAGATCATTCATGGAGTTCCGCTTTAAATTTACTTAATGTTGACTGACTCACTACCTCAGCTGGAAGTCTATTCCAAGCATCAACTACTTTTTCAATCA